TTAGGAATGGAACCAAAACTCTTTGAACTTTTGAACTTAAAAAATAAAACGGGGGCCGGGCGGTGGTGGCGCACGCCTTTAATCCCAGCACTCGGGAGGCAGAGCCAGGCGGATCTTTGTGAGTTCGAGGCCAGCCTGGTCTACAGAGCGAGATCCAGGAAAGGCGCAAAGCTACACAGAGAAACCCTGTCTCGAAAAACAAAAAACAAAAAAATAAAAAATAAAAATAAATAAATAAATAAATAAATAAATAAAACGGACAGTAACGATTTCATTATAATGGGACAGTTTGAATTTACTTATACATATATACTCTATCAACAGTGATGACTTATGAACTGCTTATGGAACTGTTTATATAAAAATGGAACTGTTTAAATAGAGAAGTTTTTTTTTTTAAAAGGGGGAGTATTAATATTCCTCAGTATATTTAATTTAAAAAATATTTTCGTGTTGAGTGAATTAATGTTATGTTTCGTATAGTTCTAAATGGTTGAGAGTAGGCTTGTAGAAATTATTATGTTAACCTATTGATATTGATGCACCATGGTTTGGTGAAGTTAAGAAAGTACTTAAGATGTATACATCAGAAGTTTATCCTATGTTTTGTTAGCAAGAAATATTAAGAGTTTGCTTTAAGATGTAAGATTGAGAAAACTAAATATGCTGTGATTGGTGTGATAAAAAGCTGATAAAAGGTGGCGCACGCCTTTAATCCCAGCACTCGGGAGGCAGCAGGTGGATCTCTTTGAGTTCAAGGCTAGCCTGGGCTACAGAGTGAGATCCAGTCACAGAGAAACCCTGTTTTGAAAAAACAAAACAAAACAAAAAAAGCTGAACAGCCAATGCCTAGGCAGGAGGTATAGGCGGGACTTCCAGGCAGACAAAGAATCTGGAAAGAAGGTGGAATCGCCAACCAGACACGGAGGAAGCAGCATGGGCAATACAAAGAGATGAGGTAACAAACCACACAACAGAACATAGATTAATATAAATGGGTTAATAGCGGGACAAGCGTAACCTAAGGCTGAACATTCAAAATTAATCATAAGTCTCCAGGACAGAAAATGACTTGTCACAGATACCAGACCCTGTCTCAAAAAGAAAAGAAAAACCCGAAACTGACCGTTACTGTGTCCGAGATGGATAACAGCATTGTAGGGGTTCTGTGCCATGACACTGAGCCGTCCAGCCCGTGCGTTCAGAGCGCTCACAATCTTCCCCACTGACACATCCAAGTAGGTCAGAAACCCTGTCTCTGACTGAGAGAGCGAAAACGAGATGTCCAGCTGTCTGTCTTCCCTCTAGGAGTCCTAAAGGAGGGTGGTCCTCCCAAGGACTGCTGCCACAGGGCCCTCTGTCCCACAGCCACTCACAGCGGTGGCCAGGAGGAAGTGGAAGGCGAGGAATTCAAGCCGAGTTACGCGGTCGCAGCGGCGGATGCAATGGAGCTCGATACCCTGGTTGTCGTAGATGTAAAGCCAGCGGTTCTGAGCGACAGCCAACAGAGCCTCTGAATGGAGGAAGCTGGGTAGAAGGGGGAGGCGTTTCATGGGACCCCAGGGCATCATCCACTGGGACCGGGCTGACCCACTCCCACCCACTGCCAGCAGCGCAAACACTGACTGGATGTCCCGCACGGCTTCCATGACGTTGATCTCACACATGAGCTTCTTTGTCACCCAGTCGAGGGCAGCCACATGACCCCGACGACCTCCTAAGGCCAGGTGTCTGTTGGAGGTGAAGCAAAGACAGAGTGCTGAGGCGGGGAGCGCCCTGACCTGACTGCAATCATGCGGTCAGCCCACCCCAGCCCCCGACAGACCGACGGGAGGATGCGCTGCTGTAGACAGCGGCAGCCAGACACACAGCGGAACTGAGGAAGGCACAGCTCCTGCAGCTGAGGAAACACAGCCACATCGAGTTCACGAGTCAGAGGGGCTAGGGAGACGGCTCAGTCAGTAGAGAGCCTGCCACGAAAGCATAGCGTCCTGAGCCTGGATCCCTGGCTCCCACGTAATCCCGGCGCCAGGGAGGCCGAGACAGGCAGCTCTCGCTGGACCTCAGTCTAGGCGGTAACGAGCTCCAGGTTCAGTGAGGAACCCTGCTCAAAGGTGGAGACCAAAGAGAGGGCTCGGCGGTGAAGAACACTTGCTGCTCTCCTAGAGAACCTGGGTTCAGTTCCCAGCAGCCCCACGTCAACTCACAACCAAACCATCCGTAACCCCAGTTCCTAGGGATCTGATGCCCTCTTCTGACTTCCATGACAGCAGGCACACATGTGATGCTCATGCATACAGGCAAAACACTCATAACCATAAATAACAAATGAAAATCCAGAAACATTAAGAAGTAAAGTGGAGTCCAACAAGAAGGCGCAGTGGCTGAGAGCACTGTACAAGCCTGGTGACCCAAGTCTGAACTCCAGAACCCACACAAGGGCGGACCAGAAAAATGACCTCACTAAGTTGTTCTTTGAGCTGCCCTACACACCCAGTCATGGGCACGCACAAGCACTCACACACACCTGCCCCACACACCCAGTCATGGGCACGCACAAGCACTCACACACACCTGCCCCACACACCCAGTCATGGGCACGCACAAGCACTCACACACACCTGCCCCACACACCCAGTCATGGGCACGCACAAGCACTCACACACACCTGCCCCACACACCCAGTCATGGGCACGCACAAGCACTCACACACACCTGCCCCACACACCCAGTCATGGGCACGCACAAGCACTCACACACACCTGCCCCACACACCCAGTCATGGGCACGCACAAGCACTCACACACACCGCTAATAACAATAAACAGGAGGGAAAAGTGGAAAGCAGTACATGAAGATGCCACATTGACCTCTGGTAATCACAAGCATACACGCCCACGTGCAGGTGCGCCACCACATGAACATGCACACACACATACAGAAAAGTCACTGGAAGCCGAGGGGCTGAGGGTGGGTTGGCTCAACAGTCAAGTGTGTGCTTTGCACGTACACATGAGGTCATGGGTTCCACATCCAGAACCACAGAAGAAGAGCTCAACTTCCTCCAGCTCATGCTGTGACGATCCCTACCATGATGGGCTCCATTCCCGGTACAGGCCAGAATTAACCCTTCTTCCCTTGAAAAGGGGGCAGGGGAGGTGTGGGAGAGGCAACACAGAGAGACAGGGCAGAGCTAGGAGTGCGCCCTCCTAGCAGTCTGGGTGTCCTGCACATGCCTATAACCCCAGCCCCAAAGGAAAGGAAGACAGGACGAGCACGGGGCCCTGCGGGCTTCCGGGTTAAGGAAACACAAGCCGCTCTGGTCCCCGGGTGTGCACACGTGCAGGTGCACACGTGCAGGTGCACACGTGCAGGTGCACACGTGCAGGTGCACACGTGCAGGTGCACAAGTCAATCCTGAGTCCTGTCTTAGAAAGCCAAGAGCCGCCAGAACTCAACCTTACCTCCCTGTGCGAGAGTAGTTCAGTCTGTAGGGTCCAAACTGCCTCAGATTCAGGTCAAAGTGCTGGCAAGGGGTGGAAAGTAAACATGAAAGAAAGAACTCCCCGAGGCGGTCTCCGGGCCCTCTTCCTCCTCAGGCTCACCTTGGCAGCGCTGGCGATGTCCACAGCCTCCACGATGTCCGTCTGCAGGATGTTTGCCGTGTCCTCCCCATCTCCGTCCAGAAACCTGGGAGGCACCGTTAGGACGACGGTGACCTTCTCCAGCACGGGGCTGGCACTCAAACATCAAAGCCCAGGGCAGGGTCCACTCACCCAGGCTCCTCCGCCAGCAGCAGCTCCGCGCGGGCAGCCCTGACGCTCGCCTCCTCCTCCTGCGCCTCAGCCGTCTCAAGCTTGCTGCGGGTTTTGGGCTTCGAATGTGGGAGCTATGACAGGGTGGGTCGGGGTTGCAAGAACCGAGGAGCATCCGTGGGGTCCCAGGGGAGCCACAGACACGCCACCACCCACCTCCCCCACCCACCTCCCCCGCGCACTCGCAGCCTCCCACCCCTCCCCACCGTCCGACCGGCCCTCGCTCACCGCCTTGGACTTGTCGATACGACGGAACTTGCGGGCCCCCTCCACGGGGGCGGGGGCGGGTCCCGGGAACGGGTCCTGGGCCTGGCGAGGGGAAGGGGCAGAGCCTGGTCGACCCGCTTGCTCTCACCCTCAGACGCCACCCCGTCGGCCCCAGGCTCACCCCAGACAGAGTCCGCGGCGGCTTCTTCCGGTCGGAGGCGCTCCTCGGGGTCCGGGGCTTCTTGCAGAACCGAGACTTCGGGGCGCCGTGCACGGCCTGTGACCTCTGCGGTCGCGGCTCCCGAGTCCTCGCCCTCTTCCCAGGCGGCCCCGGGGCGGCGCCCGCAGCGGCCGGGGTGGTCTCCTCCTCCCAGTACCGCCGCGGCTTCTAGGGGCAGAGGAGAAGCCCTGGCACTCGCAGTCCGGGCCCGAGCCCGAGCCCGAGGGCGGCGCCGCCTCCCACCGAAGCCGCTACCTTCCTCCGGGCCTGCGGGCTGTCCTTCTTGGGTGGGACACCCCGACCCGGCTTGGGGACTGTCTCCATCTCGCTGACCCAACGACGATCCACGTGCGAAACTCCCCGCAGCAATCCCACGGCCTTCTAAAAAAAAAAAAACTTCCGGGAATCCTCCGGCCTTCATCCAATCATCGCCGTGCGGGAGCCTGAAGCCTCTGGCGCCATCTCGAGTGAGGGCAAGCCTCTGGGAGCGGGGAGGCTCAGCCGAGGGGCAGCTTCTGGCCAAATGGTGACTAAAAGGTAAGTCTGGGCCCCGAATCCTCCTAAAGATGAGTTCCTTTTTTTCCAGATTAACTTCTCTGTCTTGCCTAAAACCTCTCGAGTCGAGTCTTTTCCGGCAGAACGCGGTTCACACACACAGGTCAGAACTACAAGTCCCAGCGTGTGTGCCAGAACGCGGCTTCCGGCGCCGTCTGTTTCCCAGCATGCCTTGTCCACTTCCGGGTTTGTTGAGACGGTGAAGAGGCTGGGGCTTGGCTCGGAGGGTCTGTGTCGCTCCGCACCTCCTAGGCAGTGGCTCTTCTGGATGAGGAGGGGCTGCGGAGCCTCAGAGAGCTGCCGGGACGAAGTGCTGTCCTCCCGCGGGGCCTGAGCCCAGGACGCCCGCCCCGGAGCCTTTCTCCTCCACCATGGCCGAGCTGATCCAGAAGAAGCTGCAGGGAGAAGTGGAGAAATACCAGCAGCTGCAGAAGGGTGAGCGGGCAGCGGGTGGTCCTGGTACCCACGCTCAGTCCACACACCGCAGCGAGGCGCCGCGCCCCTCGGGATCCCGGCGGGCAGCTCGGCGGGCAGCTCGGGTCCCTCCGTCCCCACCGGCCTCTCCAGGACCGTGCGGTTCCTGCCCCATTTGATGTCTTTAATCATGCGTTTCCTCTCTCCACCCCAGACCTGAGTAAATCCATGTCGGGGAGGCAGAAGCTGGAGGCACAGCTAACAGAAAATAACATCGTGAAGGAGGTGAGGATCCGGGACGCCGGGACACAGCGGAGCTTTGCTGGGTACCGTTATCTCATCAACCTCCCCCTCCTCTCTCCAGGAACTGGCCTTGCTGGATGGATCCAACGTGGTCTTTAAGCTGCTGGGACCCGTGCTCGTCAAACAGGAGCTAGGGGAGGCTCGGGCCACGGTGGGGAAGAGGCTCGACTACATCACCGCGGAAATGTAAGTGCTCAGCACCCTGTGATGCCGCCGGCATCTCCGCGCAGAAGTGTTGGGTAGTTCTCCATAGCGGCCCCGCTTCCCAAGCCCTTCTTTCTTATTCCTCCCTGAGACAGGGTCTCACCGTCAAGTATTGGCTGGCCTGGAACTCACTGTTTGCCTCTGGCTCCCGAGGGGTGGGATTAAAGGCGCCACCATTTCAGCCTTTCTTTTTGCATCACATTTTTTGGGGGGGCACCTGTGCCATGGCACGCATGTGAAGTCAGAGGACAACCTGCGGGAATCTCCTCCTTCCTACCGTGGGGGCTCTGGAGATTGAATTGAGGTGTCAGCCCTGGAGGAAAACAGCCCTACCCTCTGATCCATCTGACCAGCCCTTTCTTTCCCTTAGTACGTGTCTCCTCCCCCCACCCCACCCTGCGCCCGTGCATCCCACAAACCTCAGATTTTCCACCAGTCTCCCCTTGCCACTCAACAGTGAGCCCCCACTGATTTCCGCTTGCCTCCCTCTTCCCCTCCTCAGTAAGCGCTACGAATCGCAGCTTCGGGACCTTGAGCGGCAGTCGGAGCAACAGAGGGAAACCCTTGCTCAGCTGCAGCAGGAGTTCCAGCGAGCCCAGGCAGCAAAGGCTCCTGGGAAGGCCTGACCCCATGGAAGGGGGAGGGGAGGGAGGGATGAGGCAGCTCCGGGTCTACACGAGAATAGCCAATAAAATGTCAACAAAACCAGTTCTTTCTACCCAGTCTTTCTTCACTGGCCTTTCCCTTTCCTCAGCCCCTTCCTGGTTATAATTCACACCTCTGAGATAGGGTTCTGGAAACTGGAATCCCTGCGGCAGTACAGGCGTTTTTGTTTTCCTGGTGCTGAGAACTGAACTCAGGGTCCTGCCTGTGCGCCTTCAGTTTTGAGTCTGAAATGTCTCAACCTGTTTCTTGCCTGTTCATACAACTCTTTATCTTCCCTTATGTTGGTTGGCATAACCCTGAGACATGGGAGTAGAACCCTGAGATGTCAGTTTAGTTGTAGAACCATGGTTCTCTAGCCGAGAGCCCAGGGTCTTACGTGGTCTCTCACTCTGAGCGCTTGTCCCCAGACAGCTCTAGATCCTTAGCCTGTCTTCACCTCTGTCTTCTTAGCATTGGTTGGAATCTAACTTTTTTTTTTTTGTCTTTTTGTTTTGAGATAATGTTTGCCTGTGCAGCCCTGGCTATCCTGAAATTTGCTCTGTAGACCAGGCTGGCCTCAAACTCACAGAGATCTGCCTCCTAAGTGCTGGGATTAAAGGTGTGTACCACCCAGCTGAATGTAACTTTTAACTAATCCGAAATTCTTCCAAACGTATATGTCATATCTACAAAGTTGTTTTTTAATTTCTTTGTCCTAAATTATTTCTTGCAAATCTGCTTTTGAGGGACAGTGATCGATATGATTCAGGAGCCCCCACTTCTTAGCGTCTGTGGCAAGAGAAAGCAGTCTATAGAGGAGCCAGGAGTGAAGGTGTCACCGAGTCAGCTTTCACCAGTACCCTGCTCTCAGGTCCCAGGATGGACCAGAGCCTTGTGCATCCTGCCTGCCAGGCACATCACACTGAGCTATGCCGGGCACCCCTGGGATGGAGTCCCTGGCCCGGTTCTCTGCCTTCTTTCATCCCGCTCCTCATTCCTAATGCCCAGTTCTGTGCACTGAAGGATGGGAACAGAATTCAGGTAGTGTTTCGGTTTATTATCTTAGTGTTGTCACAGTGACAAGAAGCTCCCAACAGAAGGTCATGTCATTGTCCTCTGCCCTGGGCTCAGAGCCTCTAGGCCTTTCCTTGGCCCTTCACAGGCTAGCGTGTGGCAGGAGCACACTCTTCCCAGCACTGATAGTTCACCACATTCCCCAGAGGTGGAAGCTATATGCAGGGATCCAATTTGGTTATATGATCACCAGTCCCCGGGGCTGGCTCTCTCGGTGGTTTGGTAAACAAGTGGCAGTGGACTGTCCAGGGCTGCTGGCCACCTTTGGGGATTCCTGCTAGTGTAGTGGCCACCATTGGTGGGTGAGCGCTGTGACTTCTGTAAACCTCAGAACAGGGCGCGCGCAATCTTCCTCCCTGTGGCCTTAATCCTGGGAAAGGAGCCCCCCCCTCCCTCGCTCGGGGGAGTTCCTGAGGCAGAGGGGCCGACGTGGGAACCCGGTGTGGCAGCGGAGGGCCTTCTGCGCTGCCGCAGGAGGAAGTCGTGAGATGCACCATCCATAGCATAGAAGACATTAGCCGAGTGTGGGATGGTTAGCTCTGTGGGTTCAGAGGGGGTGTCAAGCATTCACTGCTCCCCCGAGTGCCCCGTGAGAACACACCCTTCCCTTTGCCTTCCCCTGGCTGCTCACCTCGCTCCCCGGGCAGCAGCTGTACCAGCTCAAACTCGGAAGCCACTGCAGAATCACGATTGTTTTTCTTAAGGACGCGACTAATGATACTCGGGGCCTTGTCCTGACTTGTCACCTTGCAAAGGAGACCAAAAGAGCAGTAAATACACCATGATGACCTGTTCCCTGTCCTTCCCACCCAGCCGGAAAAGACCTGTGTCCAATCAACAAGAACCCAATGAGCCAGCCCACATGGCGCCATCGACAAGGATGCTCTCCTGCAGGGCAACTGTTGGCTCTGAAAGTGTAATGCAACCCCCAACACTCAGGGTGGCCCGCTAATGCAGAGTCCCACAGGAGCTACAATGGAGTCCTGACTGCCTAAACCCAAGATGACACTCATGTCTAATACAGCCAGGTCCTTCCCACCCAGCCCAGCCCCAGCTCCCTCACCAAGATGCTCTTGTAGACGCTGCCATCTTCCCCCAGCTCCATCTGGACTCGGATAATTCGGCAATCGGAGGACCCTGGTCCAGATACCCCTCCCCCATATCCAGCACCCCTAGAGGCCCCCTCTCCTGTGCCCCCACTCAATGGAGATCCACAGGAGGCTGAGCGGCGGTGACCTCGAGAAGGCCTGGGGGAGGAGGCCGGAGGGGAGAGGTGGCTAGGGTCAGCAGGACTGTGCAGACAGGGGCTGCTTTCCAGGGCAGAGTCCAGAGATGAGACAGATGGCCACTTCATGTGCTAGGGGCAAACAGGTGAGGTCATGAAGGGAGGGAGGCAAAAGAGAAGCGTCTCAGTGTGGTCAGAGTTAAGAGTGGACTCACCTGGGCCAGCCGAGTCAGCAGAGGAGTAGGGGTTCCAGGTACTTCATCTCCCCCAACACTGGGCCGATCCCAGGACACGAGAGGGGTGGGGCCTCCAACAGAGCCCAGAACTCTGGAGAGGCAGGAAATCAGACCAGGACAGGGGCAGTGGCAAGTCCCCATGAGACCAGCTCCCAGCCAACAATGCTCCTACTCTGTCCACTGTGAGATGACTAGCGTCGGCCGAAGCATCCTGGCAGCAGGGGAGTCACTGGTACCAGGAGGCTCCACTTCACAGGACACACGGTGACTGGACAGGATAGCCATGGACAGAGGTCAGGATATGCCATCAACACACACACACCCACATTCCCCAGCCAGAGCCCTAGAACCCAACCACCCAGCCACCCAGCCACCCAGCCAGTCACCTCTGAGCTTCGGTTAACGGCTGGAGGCCCTGGAGCCACTGTTGGATATCAGGGTCAGGTCGGAGGTCATAGCCACGGCATTCATTCTGGAGGCGCAGCAGCTCCGAAAGGACCGTAAACTCCTGGGAAGGAGCCCTCAAACTGCAGGAGCCAAAACTCAGGGAGCCCTGAGTTTGCCTCCCTCTCCCCATCCTGGGACACGATCAGGGAATTCCAGGGTCCAGCCCCACAGTCCCCTCACCTTCCTCCGCTTGTCAAAATTGATGTAGCCGTTCTGCAAGGGCAAAGGACGAATGGGCTAATCCTGCTCAGGCACCAGAGAGAACACCCTTCTTCCCAAGCAGAGCCAGTACACAAGCCACTTAGACCTTGGGATTCCATCCCTCTCCTCCATTCACACCTCAGACCCAAACTCCTATCCGCCTTGGCTGGCTAGAACTCACAATGTCGATCAGACTAGCCTTGAAGTCATAGAGATCTGCCTGCCTCTGCATCCTGAGTGCTGGGGTTAAAGGCGTGCGCCATTCTGCTGGGCAAAATAACTCTTAAAAAACAACAAAACCCATGTAGACCAGGCTGCCCTCTAAGTCTAAGAGACTGGCCTGCCTCTGCATCCTGAGTGTAGTGTGGGGTTCCAGGGAACACCCAGCTCCACTTGACATCTTAAATTACTGTCTAAGAGAAAGCATTGAGCTTCTAGATGAGAAAATTGGGCTCACAGCAGGACAAGGAACTTTCTGGAAGCCTCAGCATCTTCTTTTGTTTGCAGCGCTGGGGGTGGAACATGCTAGGGAGTCCCTCACATCACCACCAGTTACTCAGTATTTATATATTTCATAAAGTATATGCCAATGTTTCCGGTATGCTCAAAGCACTTGACAAAAATGTATTCATTTATCCCTCCCATTAACAGGCTGATGTGGATGCAGTCAAACATATACTGACAGACCACCGAAGTGCAGAGGCTGAAGTGCTTGCCATGGTGATAGAACCTGGCTCCAGAAACTGTACTCTGCTGCTTCTGTCTTGTAGCCTCTCTGAAGGCTCTATCTGAGCCTTAGGTGCACCTGTTAAGCCTTCCAGGACAGACCCCGCACACACACACACACACACACACCACTGACTTCCAGCTCATCCTTGGAGGCTGCACACACACACACACACACACACACACACACACACACACACACACACCACTGACCTCCAGCTCATCCTTGGAGGCTGCACACACACACACACACACACACACACACCACTGACCTCCAGCTCATCCTTGGAGGCTGCACACACACACACACACACACACACACCACTGACCTCCAGCTCATCCTTGGAGGCTGCACACACACACACACACACACACACACACACACACACACACACCACTGACTTCCAGCTCATCCTTGGAGGCTGCACACACACACACACACACACACACACACACACACCCCACTGACCTCCAGCTCATCCTTGGAGGCTGCATCCAGCATCACTAGGTCCTTCAGGAAGGTCCCAAGGTATGGAACCACACCCTGCAGAGAGGTCAGGGTCAGACTCCCGCCCGACACACACCCTTCTTTCCCTTCCCTCCGCACAGAACTGTCCTCGTTCACCTCGTCACCAAACCTCCCAGCCCCACTGGTCACTCACCCCACCCCTGGAGCCGGACCTTGGGGTCTTCTTGGAGTGTGGCTCCCCAGGGGGCTGCAGCTTCACTTCCTGGTGGTGACAAGACATGGTGAGGGGGAGAAGGGGCAGGTGCAGAGGCTGGGGGAAGCAGGACCCGCCTCACCTGCAGGAGGAGCTCTCTGCTCTGGGAATAATTATCCTCCTCGGAGAAAATCTGGCACAGGCTGGAAAAGACTCTGAGGCTGTCCCTAGAGAGGAAGAGCAGTGCCCTGAGCACAGGCCTGGCTCAGCTTCTCTGCACCCCAGGCCTCAGGCACTTGGCACCTCCCACCTGGCTGCTTCCCCCCAGGCTGCCCGAAGCCTGTGGATAGGGCTGGACTGCAGGGCCGACACAACAGCGTAGACTGAGGAGAAGTTCCGAAGCAGGCGGCACTCCTGTGAGGACCCAAAAACAGAGTCAAGGCTGTCGGCCCTCTCCATGTCACAGTCCCCAGGCAGCTGGGCTGTTCTCCC